TTTTTGTCCTTTTGAGATGGTCTCTCTATGCAGTTCAGGCTGGACTTGAGCTCACTTTGTAGCCCAGGCTGGTCTCAAACTTGCAACAATCCTCCTCAGCCTCTCAAATGCTGGGATTACAGGTGTGCACCACCATTCCCAGCTCCAGAAGTTTACAATTCAGCATGCTCAAAATGAACTCCATCACAGAGGACTCTTGTGTATCTCCTGCAGCACCTGGGCCAAAGGTTAACCACCACTGGCCTAGTAAAAAGTGATACGATTGTGGGAAAAACCGGTTTTTCAAACCATGGCATACTAGCATAAGGATGCACGTACAAGAAAGGGTTACAGAGAGTGCTCAGAAATAAACCCTCACATACACGATCAATTAATCTTTGACAAGGGTGCCAAGACTACTTGTTATGGACTGTCTGTATCCCCCAAATTCACATGATTATTTCTGGAGAGAGGGCTAGTGAGGAGGTAGTAAAGATTAAATGAGGTCAGCCAGGCACGGTGGTGCACGCCTGTAATCCCAGGGCTCTGGAGGCTGAGGCAGGAGGATTCGTTGCAAGTTTGAGACCAGCCTGTGCTACAAAGTGAGCTCAAGGCCAGCCTGAACTGCATAGGGAGAGTCTGTCTCAAACGGACAAAAAATAAAAAATAAAAAAAGATTAAATGAGGTCCTTGGGCATGGTGGCACACACCTGTAATCTCAGCCCTCTGAGAGGCTCAGGCAGGAAGACCACAAGTTCAAACCCAGCCTGCGGAATTTAACAAGACCCTGTCTAAAAATTTAAAAAAAGTAAATGAGGCAATAAGGGTATGGCCCTAATCCAACAGGGGCTGCTTTTGCAAGAGGAAGAGATAACCAAATTCTCCCTCTCTGCCATGTGAGGTCATGGAAGCGAACCCTCACTAGGAACTGAATAGGCTGGAACCTTGATCTTCAGATTCCAAGCCTCCATAACAATGAGAAATAAATTTCTATGTTTTAAGCCACTCAATCTGTCGTATTTTGTTGTGGCAGCCCAAGCTGACTACCACACCGTTCAGTCTGGAAAGTCTATTCAACATGCATTGGGGGGAAAACCAAATATTCACACTCAGAAGAATGTAGTTAGACTCTTCTTTATGCCATATACAAAAAGTAGCTCAAAATGTACCAAAAGCCGGGCTGGGGATTTAGCTCAGCGGCCCAATGCCTGCCTGGCAAGCATGAGGTTGTGAGTTTGATTCCCAGTACCAGAAAAAAAAAAAAAAAGTACAAAAAGCCAACTGAGACCTACAACTATCAAATTCTTTGAAGAAATCATAGTGGGAAAGTGTCATTACATTGGACTTGGCAATGATTGCTTGCAAATGACACCCAAAGCACAGGAACAAAAGAACAAACAGATGAATTCAATTTCATCAAAATTAAAAGTTCTGGCTAAGCGTGGTGGCACATGCTATAATCCCAGCACTCTGCAGGGTAAAGCAAGAGGATTGCAAGTTCAAGAGTAGGCTGGACAATTTAGTAAGACTGTCTCAAAATAAAAAATAAAAAACACCTGAGGATGTAGCTTAGTACAAAGGCTCTAGGTTCTATCCCCAGGACTGAAAAGAAAATTGAAACTTTTGTACATCAAAGGACACCATCATAAGTGAGACAACACACAAATGGGAAAAAAATATTTTCAAATCGTGTATCTGTTAAGGAGTAAACAGGCAAAATATATAAAGAACTTCTATAACTCAACAATAAAAAAACAAAAAAATCCAATTAAAAAATGGGCAGAGCTAGGTGTTGGGGGCACATACATATAATCCTAGCATTCTGAGAGTTTGAGGTAGGAGCATAAATTCAAGCCCAGCTTGTTTTAAAATGAAAAATTCAGCCAGGCCTGGTGGCACATGCCTGTAACCCCAGCATTCGGGAGACTGAGGCAGGAGGATTGTTGTGAGTTCGAGGCCAGCCTGAGCTACAGAGTGAGCTCAAGGCCAGCCTGAACTGCATAGGGAGACCCTGTCTCAAAAAGATAAAATAAAATGAAAAATTCAGTAAGAAAAAAGCAGGGCTAAGGATGTAGCTCAGTATAAAAACCTCAGGTATAATCCCCAGTACAAAAAAAAAAAAAAGGCAAAGGTTTCAAATAGACATTTTTCCAAATAAAATATAAAAATGGTCAAGAAAAACCTGAAAATATGTTCAACATCATTACTTTTTTTTTTTTTCCTATCTTTTTTGAGACTGGGTCTTGCTATGTAGTTCAGGCTGGCCTTGAGCTCACTTTGTAGCCCAGGCAGGTCTTGAACTCCCAACGATTCTCCTGCCTCAGCCTCCCGAGTGCTGGAATTACAGGCGTGTGCCACCACGCCCGGCACAGTATCATTACTTTCTGTTCATTTGAAATGCAAATAAAAACCCACAATATCACTTCACACCTATTAGGATGCCTATTGTCAAAAAGACAGTTAACATGTTGGGGAGGATGTAGAAAAATTGGAACCCTTGTGTACTGCTGGTGGGGACTTTAGTGCAGCTGCTATGGAAAAGTTGGGCCACACTTCAGAAAGTTAAACAAATAATTACTATATGACTCAATGATCTCATTCTTTTTTACCTAAAAGTGCTTAAAGAGACAACTCAAATATATACTTGTACACCAACATTATTCACAATAGTTTTTCTTTTTTTTTTGTACTGGGAATCGAACTCAGGACCTTGTGCTTGTCAGGCAGGCACCTGTGCCACTGAGCTATATCCCTGGCCCTATTCACAATAGTTTTAAAGGTGGAAACAGCAAAGTGTCCAGCAACAGATGAATAAAAATATGGCATTGGCTGGGGATTTAGCTCAG